TTGTTACAGAGTGCATATTACGGCTGCGGGGGACAAAAATAACAATCAGATGAATGGGAGCTATAGCTACAGGGTTGCCCATATTTGACGGACCCATCTGGCAACGCCATAACTTTTGACAGAGATGTCACATCGCTTAATGATATACCGCGTTTGAAGCGTCAGTCCAAGCAGATTTTTACCATGAACCAATACACACCACGCGAGCGTGTTGAAATTTACATGCGTTTATACGAAAAATTTTCGACTGGTAAGGCTCTTTCTAATCCGAAGAGGCCATATAAAAGTCGACCAAGGCGATCGGCCGAGAATATCGCTGCCGTACGAGCCAGTGTTGAGAGGTCCCCAAGAACATCCCAAAAACGCCGTTCTCAGCAGTTGGGCATGGCTCGGTCCACTTTACAACGGATTATTCGCATTGATTTGCATTTGTTCCCGTACAAAATTCAATTGACGCAAAGAATGTTGCCTGCGGACAAGCCTCGTCGATTGAAATGGGCCCAAAAAAAACATGGGTCCGTTGAATATGGGCAACCCTGTATATCTGAACCGATTTCGATCAAATTTGGTATACATATTTTCAGGCCTAATTTGGTTGTATGTGTAAAATTCCTATTATTCTGGCTGATATTACACGTTTGGTGCACAATAAAAGACAAATCAGACGAAGATATATATGGGAGCTATATCTAAATTTTGACCGATTATCTCCAATTTAATAGGGTTCGTCCTTGAGCCAAACAAATGATTTGTGCCAAATTTCATCTGTATAGGGCAATAAATGCGAACTGTACGTTGTTTACAAAAATACATGGGCAGACGGACGGACGGACGAACATGCATAAATCGACTCAGAATGTGATTCTATGCGGATCATCAAAAGGAACTCTGGGTCTATCTCGTTTCCTTTTGCATGTTACAAACAAATGCACAAAGACATAATACCCTGACTACCTTGTGGTGTAGGGTATAAAAAGGCAAACAAAAACCTATGGCGTAGAAAGAACAAGACCATATAGAGAACCCTTAATAAATATGGGCTTAGAAAGAAAAACCCGTAAAATTTGTTTACTCTTACCAAATGTTGCGAAAACAAGTTACCGAAATGGCCAAAACACTAGTGGGGAGATATGGCAAAGGAGCTTTTAGAGCAAATGAAGTAATATTGGTTGAAAAAATATTTACCCTCTTTCGTACTACTGGCTGAATGAATGAGCTCGCTTACCAGTAATTTGTAGTAGCTATTGTTGTTCTTGTTGTTGTCATTTTGTTGGCATATCGTTTTCGTTTCTCATTCGTTGTATTATTACTTGAAATTCAAATTTGTAAAGGTTTTTTTTCTGTTTGGTTGGTTGGTTGTATATCTAATAAAATACGTAATATTGTCTACTATTATTACAAAACAAAAACGAACCACCGAACGACCGACCAACAGTCGAAACATATGGGTCTAGTTTTATTAAATTTCATTCAAGAAATCTTACAGCAAGGTGCATATTTTTTGCTTGTTTTTGAGAAATGAAATGAAATTTAAAATTATAATTTTGTATTGGACAGCATGTGAACTGAAATTATGCAATCTATTTTAGCAAAGGGTGCATATTTTAATACCAGAAAATACGGCGAATCTTATTAGCACCCACACTACTTTGTAATATTAATGCTTATGTAGGAAAACTTTGGACTCGAACATTCTCTCATTTAAATTGGAAATTGTAAGGAAGAGAAATAAGTATTTCTTCGTTAACATAACATATTAAGCGAGAGCGTGTCCGACGAAAAGAAAAGAAAAACTTATATCAAAATCGGCTGCAAAAAATAACAAAAGGCTTAACAAGTTAAAAAGCAGTAAGTTCAGCCGGGCCGAACTTTTGAATACCCTCGAATTTGGAAATTTTCAAAAAAGAAAATCCGTAAAAAATTCTGTTAAAATTTTAAAAATACCAAATGTAGCCGTTATATTGGAGTCTATACGACGTGGACATACATAGGCATTGTTTGTCATAAGCCATTACCATATTCAAATTCGAAACTTGAAATAAATCGTATACAAGGAGGTGCCGTTAAATTGGAGCTGTGCGAAGAACTGGACCAGCATAGACAATTTTTTGTCACAGGCTGTAGCATCCATTACGAACTTCAAATACCACATCTCAAACAATTTCGGTGGGTATTGTACCTAAAATCGTCAAAATACCGAATATAGGGAGGTACTGATATATGGGGCCTATACGAAGACGTGGACCTGCACAGACAATTTTCTGTCTTAGGCTGTAGTATCCATTTTGAACTTCAAGTACCAAATTTGAAACAATTCCCGTGAACAATGTCGTTAAAATCATCAAAATACCGAATATAGGCGGGCTATACGAAGACATGGACCTGCACAGACAATTTTCTGTTTTAGGGTGTAGTATTCATTTTGAACTTCAAATACCAATTTTTAAATTACTTCCGGAAAAAAGGTCGCTAAAATCATCAAAATACCGAATATCGGGAGGTACCGTTATATGGGGGCTATATGAAAACGTGGACCTACATGGCCCATTTACGAACTTAACCTGCCTACTGGAAAAATAAACATGTGTGCAAAATGTTAGCCATCTATCTCAATTCATTCGAAAGATAGCGTGATTACAACAGACAGACGGACAGACAGGCAGACGGACGGACATCGCTAAATCGACTTAGAATTTTACGCTGATCAAGAATATATATACTTTGTTGGGTCTGACATGAGTATTTCGAGGAGTTACAAACGGAATGAGAAAGATAATATACCCTCCATAGTATGGTGGAGGGTATAAAAATACCTAAAAACTGTGCAAGACGAAAATTAATTACAGGAAAAATCCAGAAAATTACTTACGTGGAGCTTAGAAGACACGAGTATCGGGGTTTTGAAAGTTTAGTTAACAAAGACCGTAAATATAGGGGATGGGGCAAGTTCCCCCCACTACCAGATTTTTTGAAATTTTTGAAATAAATCCCTTGAATTTCGTGCATTTTAAATGTATAGGGTCTTTGTCCGGTATTACATGCAGCAATACGAGGATAATTTTTGTAGAAAAATGTAATCCTCCAGCAAGTCACAAAACTAGTCAAAAACGTGTCCGTTTAACAAGATCGTAACAAGTTAAAATATTTTATAAATGTATTTGTCATTGATTATTACAATAGGTCTCAAAAGATGTCAAAAGGTAGATCTTGCCAAAACGTCAGAAATTCGCACATATCTAGGGTAAAAAGTTATCCAAAATGTGGGTCTAATGGTAACGGATTTGTCTAAAAATTGGTATTTGTTAGTCGGCAGCTCCGGTTGCGAAACATTGCATGTATGGGACCACGATTTGGTATAGCCCCCATATTTGCCACATTTTTTCACTGATTTGTCTAAAATTTAGTATTTGTAGGTCATAATAGGTCCTAGTTTGTGTGCCGAAACATTGTATGTATAGGTCCACGATATTCGGTATTTTGAGGATTTTTGACACATTTTTTTACGAATTTCTCTGAAAATTGGTAGTTGTAGGTTATAATGGGTCCCAGTTCGTGTGGCGAATCATTGTAATTATAGGTCCACGTTTTGGTAGAATCCCCATATAACAGTTCCTCCCGATATTCGGTATTTTGTTGATTTTTGTCATATTTTTCCACGGATTTGTCTGAAAATGGGCATTTGTAGGTCATAATGGGTTCTAGCTCCTTTGGCGAAACATTGCATGTATAAGTCCACGATTTAATATAGCCTCCATATAACGGTACCTCCCGATATTCGGTATTTTAATGGTTTTTGTCACATTTCTTCACAGATTTTTCTGGAAATTGGTATTTGTTGGTCTTAATGGGTACTAGCTCTTTTGGCGAAACACTGTGTGTCCACGTGAGGTCCACGTTTTTGTATAGCCTCATATAGCCGTATTTCCCGATATTCGGAATTTTGATGATTTTTGGCACATTTTCCCATGAATATGTCTAAAAATTGGTACATGTGGGTCATAATGCGCTCTAATGTTTCCTTTACCCTAATGTGGAGGGTATTAAAAGTTTGGCCCGGCTGAACTTAATGTTTTTTTACTCGTTTTAGAACCAGAAAGGAAAAGTCAAGAGTCGGGCGGATCGACTATATGATACCCCATACCAGTATGTATATTTAGTAGAGCTCTCGTAATAGAGAGTTTATGTGAGGTAGATCATCTCACCTGTCAACATTTGGCTTTAGAGCAGTTATTTAGTTTCAGAGGGAACTAATATATGGGAGGCATATACAATTCTGAATCAATTTTCACTAAATTTTGCTATAGAGTGCATGATATCACTTGGGGAAGGATTATATTAAAACATATGTATCGGAACCGAGTTCCACAACATGGAAACGTACGTCCCGAAATTCACTCCATTTGGGCTGATATTAGCCAATATATCAAAAATACCTGAAATCAGACTCGAGTAGACTCGATAAAATTTGACAAAGGTATTCCCGAGCACTATAAAACATCAGGTACACAACTCTTGTGGACTGCATATTAGGAATGTGAACGACTTAAAACACCAAATCGAATGAAACATATATAAAATCCGGTCACATATGCCAATATTCAGGTAATTTGGACAGATATTGGTTATTTAGTGTACAATTAACCCGAAATCGGTTGAGGATATATATGGGAGCTTTATCCAAATCTGAAAAGATTTGGCCAAATTTGATACACTTATTTCAGATGCATATTACACTTGTGAGGGACTTTTTAAACCCAAATCGTATAAAACGTATATATATATATATATATATATATATATATACACTGAGGGAAAAATCCCGTTGCGAAATCAAGCACGTATGTTGTCATTTTCGCAACGACCCGTTGTTATATTTTTCAACAACGGCTGTTGGTGAATTGTGCACGAACGTGCTCAAATTGACACCGAGACGTGGTCAACTTTCGGTACCAACAACAGCCGTGCTTAATTTGTCCATTTGTAATATTGGTAATTGCAGCCGATTACACACGAGTAAAAAATGACAACGGTGGTGCATGATTCACACACGGTCGTTGTCAATATGACACCGGTCGTGTATGAATTATGCACCACCACCTGCATAATGATGCACCACCGTTGTTACTTTGTACACCGACGTGCATGAATCGTACACGATCGTTGCCATTTTAGCAACTACCGTGTATGAATCATGCACCACCGTTGTCATTTTTTTTACTCGTGTGCAATCGGCTGCATATTTACCATTTTTTTCCGTGTTATTGAAAGAGAAAGGACGCATTGTGCAAAAAATTTATTGAAAATGAATAATAATTCGCAAGATCCTCAAAATATCATTGGTGAGTTGTTAGAAATCGATGGCAATATTGTTGTGGTTCGCGATACAAACCATTGCAGCAGTCAAGATGCGGAAAACAATGAGGACGATTATATGTTAAGGGAGTTCTTAAAAGGAATAAATATGGAGTCGCTTTTTGAACAATTAAAAGGTAAGTAAATAAAAATGAATTTTTCAGTTAATCAGTGTAATTAACAAAGAATTTTCTTTTTTGTTCTTTTAGCATCACATGTAACATTTCGCAGCTTGCAGTACTTGAAAAAAGAAGATTTAAAGGAAGCAGTGCCACCATTGGGACTGCGTGTTGAATTCAGAGAAAAGCTCTTTGCTTGGAAAAAACGAAAGGTACGTATTATTTGTTTTACAGAGTTGAACTCAGTATTAATATTGTCATAACAATAGCTCGGGATTGATGACGAAACTATGTCAGTTCCATCTAAAATAGGTGAATGGTGGAAACGCAACGAGACACCTGCAAGTACTCCTGGTACTCCCGACACTACAGGTTCGAACTGCTCAAAAGCCAAAGGAATTTTGTCAGAGGTAAGGTAAGAGTAATATTTGTGTAAGCATAGTTAATGTAGTTTTTTTATTTAATATAGGATCTAACGGAATTGTTAACACATACCTCGAAGGGGAAACTAGCGCTTGAATGTAGTAGCGTTAATAAGAAATTAAGTGACGAGCAAAGAGATGATATAATTAATATAATTATTGAAGATATTTTAACCAACAATGTTACTCTTTACACTCAAGACTATATGCGCATATTGGATGAAATTTGTTCCGTTTTTCCTCTTGAAAACGAAATGAGGGTAAGATTAACAATATAAACAACGTATCTGATTATGTAGTTTCTTAACTTATAATATGTCTTTATTTTTAGGATTATTATTACATTTCAAGAAAAGGAAAGAACAACGCAAGCGGAAAACTTTATGCCAAGTATAGAAACAAGAAGTCCAAAAGAATAAAGCTTTTGATTTCCGAGCCTAGCACAAGCAAAGCAGCAACTCACACATCTCCTAATTTTTGTAACAAAGATGTTCCCGAAATTGATGAATCAGTTGAAAATTCATTGAAAGCTTCCTTACTAAGAGAATGTAATGATTGGGGATCGATCTGCGAAAAATGGAAAAGATCTTTTAACATACGGCAAAGAGATATAAAAAATTTAAGTAGCCATACATTTCTCCTTGAATGGACGAAGTTGTCCGATGCAAGAGCTTCAGAATTGGTAAGTAGCCATGAGCTATTTATTTGTATATGGATACTAATGTTTCGTTTTAGGTCAACATTGATTTCGATATTATGTATCCACAGAAAGGCAATCTTCTACTTTCTAAATGGGACCAATTTAAGAAAAAAATTTACAATTATTATGGGAAAAATATTCATAACGAACATTGCAAACAACTCTTCGCAAATGTTTTGACGGCAAGCAGCATAGGTAAATTTTAATTCCTGATTTATCATAAACATTAAAAGTAATATTTATTTTATATTTCGGTTGCAGATGCTCAAGATTATATATACGCAATACTGTTGAATTCAGTTTTACCATCACCTGCTAGGTTTAAATGTGGAAACGGTAAATTACGAAAAAAAGTAACAATAGCTGATTCGCAGGAAAGTTTCGTACTGCGACTACCGACAATTAACGATTATAAAAGGCAAATTGATACAGTCACTGAAAAGTATTACAATGCTGGATTAACTATACAGCCATTTATAATTGTGGAGGGTTTGTCCGATTTCAATATAAAAGGTTTTTATGTTTTTTTTAACCACAATTTGTTAAAATTTCAATCGTTCCTCGAATGTTTAGATACATGTTTTAAAATTTTTCATGCACTTTCTTTAAAATATCCAAATGCCTGCCAAATTCCATGGATTTTTATCCAAAAATATTTTTATGAAATTAATACTGTATATGATATAAAATCAGTTAATTTGACTTCACTTATTAATTTCTGCAACAATAATTAAAGTACAATTCAAAATGTATATTTGCTTTCGTTGCCGTAAGCATTTTGATAAGGCAAATCTTTTAATAGCTCATTTGAAAACAGACCATTTAATGTCCACTAAATTTTTAAAAGTACAATGCGTTCAGGACAACTGTAAGCAAACATTTACAAAATTTACGTCATTCAGAATTCATTTAGAAAAACTTCACAAGAATCACACAAAAGCTCCACCAATGGTTAAAGCCATTAATGTGCCAGTTGAAATGTCATCATCAAAAGAAAATGATTATACAAACAGTGAAACTGTTATTAACAACAATACAATAGAAAAGGATTTAAATGTTTTGAAAAAGAAAACCTTATATCTGTCTTTACAATTACATGGTCAAAGCTATATGCCTAGAAATCATGTTATAGAAATACAACATTCTGTTTCAATTCTGCTTTCATCCATTTCATGTACAATTGAAAAATATATAACTGATCATCCAAATTATGAAGACTTAAGGTACTTACTAAACTTTTGTAAAAATCCTTTCGAAGAAACTAGAACGGAATATAGACTTTTAAAAATTTTAAAAGAACTAAACTTTTATGATGATCCAAAGGTTTATGTAATTAGCAATCAAGTCTCGGAAATTGTTATCAGCGGAAATCCCAGTTTAGGTCCAAAGTTATCCAATATTTATATAATGCCACTGAAATTCATGATAAGTGCCCTTTTTAAAATTCCAAATCTCTTAGATTTGACATTAGAAAACTCCAAAAAATTCCTAATTCACCTGTTTTACAAAATTTTACAAACGGTGAGTTATATAAACTAAATTATTAAAATATCAGTACAATTTAGTTATTCCCTATGTCCTTTACATGGATGATTTTCAAATTAATAATCCTCTTGGAACCCATACATTTTCCATATGTGGTTGTTATATTAGCTTTCCTTCAATGCCACAGCACTTGTTGTCAAAACTTGATTATATATTAACTGCTGCGTTTATACCATCAAAGGATTTAAAAGAACGTGGAAATGAAGTTTCATTTCACAATCTTGTAGAAGAGTTAAAAATTCTAGAAGAAGGGGTTGAAATTTGTGTTCAACAAAGTGTTCAGAAGGTGCATTTTATTTTAGGTGTAATTATTGGAGATAATTTAGCAGTTAATAGTATTTTAGGCTACGTGCAATCATTTAACTCTAAAAGATTTTGCCGGGTATGTAGAAGAAAAAAGTCCCAAATGCAATTCGACGCAATTCAGCATTTAGATAGTTTAAGAAACCAAGAGAATTACAACTCAAATGTATTGGAAAATAATTTTCAAGAAACAGGTATTAAAAACAAGTGTATCTTCGAATCTTTACCAAATTTTAACGTCACTGAAAATTTTGTTTTGATATTATGCATGACATTTTCGAGGGCATATGTGTCTACGATATGTCTAATGTAATTCTCGGGCTGATTCAAGAAAATATTGTTACGTTAGATTGTATTAACAGCAGAAAATCTTTATTCCAATTTGGAGAAATTGAAGTGGGAAATAAATCTGGACCACTAGATTTATGTAGATTGAAAAACTATAACTTAAAAATGACAGCTAGTGAAACTATGTGTTTTACTAATTTTTTACCTTTAATGGTAGGCGATTTAATTCCTTTCTCCAACGATCACTGGAAAGTTTTTATAATATTATTACAAATAATCGATTTACTTTTAAGACCAAGTTATATAGAAGACGATTTAATAAAATTGGAAGAATTAATTAGAGATCACCATTCACTTTATATAACATTATACGGTTCGTTAAAACCGAAACACCACTTTCTTGTCCACTATCCCACAGCTATCCGAAAATGTGGTCCCCTTAAATATCTCTGGAGCATGAGATTCGAAGCTAAACACAAGGAAGCAAAAGCCTATTTAGGAAATACTACATCAAGAGTAAATCCCTGTCGTTCATTATCTATTAAGTCTGGATTGAAATTTTCCAATTTTTATTAAAACACGAAGATAACTTAGAACCAAATGTTATCATTAATACGCATACCATCGAAGATTTGGCAAAAGAGGAATATTGTTACAAAAAAAGTAAGCCAGTTTTAAATTACCAAAATTGCAAAGTGTCTGATGACATTTTTTTTAAGGGAACTAGGTATAAAAAAAACTATTATTTAGCAACAAATAATGCCGCAATTGAACTTTTCAAAATTAAACATTTAATAATTGAAAATGAAAATGTTTACATTTATGTAACCAAGTAAAAGTTAAAAACTTTGATTACCATTTACAATCGTATGAAGTTGGTTCTCTGAATGAGGATACAATTTTTTTAATACCAATTTTAGATTTTATTACTTACCCATTTCACTTATATCCTATGAATAATGGAAAAGTTTATTTCAGATTTAAGTTAATTTAATTTGTTTCTATACATTGAATATATGTAATTCGAATTGTTTTGTTAAATCAAATATGTATTTATATTGAATTTATGTAATTGGTTTCGTTCAATAAAATACTTTTCAAAAAATGTCGTTTCTTCTACTAAGGGTATAAAATGGAAAAGGAACGGATATCAAAAAATGACCACCATTGATTTCAATCTGACAACGGGCGTTGACAATCCGACAACGGAGCGTTGACAATCTGACAACGAAGCGTTGACGATCTGACAACGAAGCGTTGACAATCTGACAACGGGGCGTGCTCGAAATGACCACGTATGTGCTCATTTCATGCACATCTGTTGTTGAAATCGTTGCCAAAATCTCGGTGTCAAAATGACAACAGCGTGCTCATTTGACACCAAACGTGGTTGATACACTATCATACACGGATGTGGTCATTTCATACACGGATGTTGTCATTTTTTCTCTGGGTGTATATATATATATATATATATATATATATATATATATATATATATATATATATATATATATATATATATATATATATATATATGGGAGCTATAGCTATATCTGAGCCTATTTACATCAAATTGGAAGCACTGGTTTATAGGATGAATTCAGTAGTAATTGCCAAAATTCAGTTCATTTGGGCTGATATTAGCCATTTGGTGCACAATAATCTTGATATCGGATAAAGATATATAATCTATTAAATTTAGGGTGCTATTACATATTTGGTACACAATAACCGTCAAATCGGATGAAAATGTTTATATAGAGGCTATAGCCAAATCTAAACTAATATCGATAAAATTGTTACCGTTCGATTCCAAATGGCATTTACTTTTTCTGCCCTCCACCATAAAAAGGACGAAATCATAAATTTGTGATTCCGTTCGCAACACCTCGACATATTTACCGGTAACACCATAAGATGTATATTTTAAGATAAATTCTATGTCGATCTTGTCAATTTCCCATATATTTTCTGTAGGCTGAAATCTTGACAGATATAAGAGAGGGAAAAAGATTAAAGCTCTTGGAGCCTGGAATCAGAAAGACAATTTTAATACGCTCAGTCATATGGCTACAGGGCGTATGTATCATTTGATACGGCCAAAACGTGCCTAATCGAAATAACGGTTTCAGACCCTAGGTCTCTATGGACCAAATCCGTTTCAGTACATTGGGAGTCGATCAAAGGGTTTCCGTCCTTATGTCTGTCTGGCTGGCTGGTGCGCATGATTTATCTCGAAGGGAATATCCGATTCAATCCCAACTTGGTACATGATAATATTATTGTCAAACTTAGATCGACTCCGGAGATGGGCAAAATTGGACCAGTCCGATTATCTTCAAATTTCACACATCCCAATTTTTCGACCAACACAAATTCGGGCGTGAAGACGATATATTTCAGACCATTCCTTCTGGAAACTCCCCCACAACGGGTTCAAGTTTTTAATAATTATATCTATCATAAAATGCGAAATAAGCAGCCGATTCATTCTAAACTGAACACATTTCAATATTTCTCCTAACCTATA